CCCTGGTTTCGGGCTGCCTCGTGCTCTGTGGTCCTCCGTCCTCAGAGAGCTGCCTGCCTTTGCCAACGCCGTCCCACGGTGACTGACGACTTGAGGATGCGGCGTCTTTGGTTGTATCGGGAAGGACTCATTTGTTTAGAAACGATAAATCGTCCACAGTGGCTTACAGCAGAAGCGGCTCATTAACGCAGCAGCACGCAGGCCCACGGTTTGGTCCAGGGTCTGGGGTGATGCCGCCTGGGCGTGTTCTCTCTCTGCTCCCGGCTCCACAGGGGCTGCCAGTGGCTGTCGGCCTGCGTGCTGGCAGGCGTGCCTGTGTCTGCAGCCCTGACCTCCCGTGTCTTGTTGGCCGTGCGAGTCGTGAGTCTGTGTCTGTTCCAGGGAACTTCAGTGCTCTCATTGGCTGGGGGAGGGCCAAGCACTTTGACTTAGAACCCCACTGTGAGGGGCCGGCGCTGTGGCGTAGCAGGGAGAGCCACCGCCTGCACTGCCGGCATCCCGTGTGGGCACTGGTTCTAGTCCTGGCTGCTCTACTTCCGATCCAGCTCTCTGCCATGGCCTGGGAAAGCAGTGGAGGATGGCCCAAGTCCTTGGGCCCCTGCACCTGCATGGGAGACCCGGAAGAAGCTCCTGGATCCTGGCTTCAGATCGGCACAGCTCCGACTGTTGCAGCCAATTGGGGAGTGAACCAGCGGATGGAAGACCTCTCTCTCTTTCTCTGCCTCTCCTTCTCTCTCTGTGTAACTCTGCCTTTCAAATAAATAAATAAATACAAGAAAAAGCAGAGACTTATTTTTTTTAAAAAGACCCCACCGCGAGCCATGGCGAGATGGGGTTCCCAGGAGGCAGCTGGGCTGCTGATTCCGGCCGGAACACTCGGTCTGGATGCCGAGTGACCCAGCAGTGGCTGCGGGTGCTCGTGACGGCGGCACTCCTCAGGGCCCGCTCCCTGCTGTCTCCTAGGGGCTGCTGGAGGTGCTGTCGGAGGTGGAGTGCCATCTGCGAGTGTCTCTCTTTGATGTCACCTACCGACACTTCTTCGGGAGGACGTGGAAGAGCTCCGTGCAGCCGACCAAGCAGCTCTCGAGGCAGCCGTCCCGGGTCGTCTTCAATGAGGTGAGGCCTCGCGACGCCGGGCAGGGCAGCTCTGCGGTGGAGGCGGGCAGTGCGGGTCCTGGGCTATGGCCTAGGGAGGGCCAGAGAAGGCCAGCGCGTCTCAGACCCCTCGGAACGTGGCCGGGCGGCAGGTGCACTCGCTGAGTGTAGGCTTAGCGGGGGGCCTCTGTTCCCAGACAGGACCTCCCGCGGGAGCCGGGTGGGTGCACAGCTCTGGCTGAAGGTGAGGGGGGGGACCTGGGTTGTTGGATTAATTTAGGAAGTCATCGATCGCATCTGCTTCTCTTCTGCCTGTCATTTCCGTTTTCTATTTTTACCGTGGGGAAAACGCGATTCAGTCGAGCAGTGTGCCCGAGTAGAAGGTGGCAGAGTGCGGAGTCACCCCTGTGCCTGCCTCTCCAGACGGGGCAGGCCGCGCTGGCCCTGGTTGAGTCACCTGTCCCTGCTCCGGGGGCTCCGTCGGCCGCCCTGTGTTCCACGTGTTCTGTCTCCATGCGGCAGCACTGATCGCGCACGATCGTGGTCTGTGCCTGCTGTCTGGGGGGCCATCATGTTGGGCGCCAGGGGATGATGGTGCCACCCAACAGAGCCTGCAGCCTGGTGGGGTGACGCCCAGCATGGGATCAAAGGATTCCAAGTTGTGAAAAGTCCGTAGGGACCTGCTAGGGACAGGTGGCCTGCTTTGGCAGGGTGGTGAGGGAGGGTCTGGCACACAGCCGGGCCCCCCAGGGTGGGAAGGAAGCAGGCCCTGGGGCGAGCAGAGACGGTGATGCTCCCAGCGGGGCAGGGCAGCCGGCAGCTGTGGGGGGTGGGTGGGGAGCGGGGCCAGCACGGCAGCGCAGGGGCCGGCAGAGTGGGCCAGTTCTGCCGTGGAGATCTCTCCAGGCCTGGCTGCTGCCTCACACGTGACCTTGACTGGGGAGAGCCTGGTGCTGGGACAGCTTGTGTGACCACAGCCATCCTTCAAGACATCGCTCCGGGCACCCCCTGTCCAGGGCGCCCCCTTTCCTGCAGGGGCCCTGTTCTGACCGTGGTTGACCCGTGACTGAGCTGGCTGTGAGTTTGCTGCCGTTGCACACGCGGCGTGGGGCTTGTGCGTGTCTTGGCGTGAGTGGTGGAGGAAGGTGGTGCCTGAGCGAGGAAGGTCACGCGGGGCCCCGGTCAGATGCACGTCCCAGGAGCTCAGAATGTGTGACGGCGCCGCTGGCAAACAGCTCGCGTGGGCGCCTCTCACGGGGCCCCCGGCTCGCGAGCCCGGGGGAGTGCACGCTTGCTGTGGGCGGGTGCAGCGACCCTTCTGTGGCCGTCTTGGTGCTGGCTGGCCCCCGCCCCTCAGGTCGGCCACTCGGGGCCAGCTGCTTTGACTTCCTCTTTCTCGCGTGTGCAGAGGGAGGCCGGAGGATGCCAGTGCTGTGTGAAGGCTTGTGCCGTGAGTAATGGCGGTGCAGTGACGGGAGCTGTCCTTCACTGTGGCGCCTAGGTCACTTCATGCTTGTCGGCTCCGTGGCGCTGTGTGTTCTGTCTCCATTTCAAGTGGAGGAAAGTGAGGCGAGGTGCGTGGAGATGGAGCCCGTCCCCCCTCACAAGGGGGCGCGTGGGCCTTGGGCAGTGAGGCCTGGGCAGGTTGGAGTGCAGCGCTGTGCCGTGAGCCCCTGTCCCTTTGTCCCGCTGACTGCACATCCCCGACACGGCCCCGTGGTCTGAGTTTTGGAAGTGAGGTGGGATTATGCTTTGAAACCAGCAGGGGGACGCTCTGTCCCTGAGGCTCCGGGATGAGTCCCTCCCTCGCTTCCGCTCGTCACAGCTGTCCACGTGTGAGCGCTTCGGCCCGGTCTGTGCAACACCTGCCCTGCGCCCTGCGCCAGTGTTTGTGACCTGGGTGGAAGGGGCGGGCTTCTGCCGCCCTGATGCTCAGGCTACAACACTGGTCGTGTTGTCAGAGCCGATCTGCAGGTCGGGGGTCCCCTGCCACACTGCCGAGGGGTCTGCACCTCCAGCTTTGCCGCCCCGGGAGCTGTGCCGTGGCCTTCTCATGCGTGGTTCACGTCTAAGTGACGGAAACAGCTTTGGCCCCTGCTGCACGTAGGGGACACCTGGGCCGACTTCTGTTGAGGTCGAGGGCAGTGGTAGGAGAGGGGCCCAGTGGAGCACAGTGCTTGAAGTTTCTAGAAGTTACCGAGGTGGGACGCAGGCGGGTTGGTGCAGGGAGCCGGCGTTTCAGGCTGCTGTTTGCAGCTGCTATGCCCACAGCGAGCAGTAGAGGCCAGTGGCGCCCCGGGAGTGAGCACCCGGCCTGCCGGCCGCCCAGCCGCCGCCTCCTGTGTCTCCTTGACATTAAGGAGACAGGGAAGGTGGTTTGTTGCCGTGTAGGGGACTGCGGAGAATTCCCCTCTGCTCCGGGTGTGCCCATGTGTGGTGGGGCTCTAGGGGTCCCGCTGGTGGGCGTTCAGACACGACGGTGTGGCTGTGTGAGAGTGCCCGGCCGATTGATGGCCCTGTCCACGCTGCTGTGGAAACAGGGGGAGAAAACACCCTTTGCCCTCCGCAGAGGTGGTTCTGAGACTTGAGGGAGACATTTTTCTAGCTTGACCCGCGGCACTGGCTTGGGGCAGTGACCTCATTTGAGGCTGGCGAGCTGCTGGGGGCGGGGACCGTGTTCGGCGCCCCGGCTGTCCGGCACCCTCGCCCGGGGTTTCATCGAGCTGCCTGTGTCTTTACAGCCTGGGAGATGGTGCTCTGTCCTACCTTGCGAACAGCAAGGTCCCAGAAGGCTCCACACACACACACCTTTCTTTGCGCCTGAGCCGGGTGTTCCTTTCTGTAACTGATGAGGCTTTGCACCCTTGTGGGGTCTGCTGGGGGATGGGGGTGCCCAGAGGCGAGCGGCCCCAGACCTCGCTCAGCTCTGAGCTCGGAGTGCGTGTGCTCCTCCGAGACCGTCCCTGGTGGAGAAGGATTGCCCTTCACTTCCTCTGAGACAGTTAATAACTCAGGCTCCCTCTAAAAAGTCTTTGAAAAAATAATCCTGGCGGCCACAGGACCGCACTTCCACGTTTCCTTTCTGAGATGGACTCTCCCTTAGATCCACTCCTTAACTACGTGGCTCAGCTGCTGGTGGGCTTATCCCCCTTTATTGATGTTGGGCAGGGTGCTGGGCAGGGGTCGTGGGGTGCTCCGTACACAGCTAAGCCCAGGGCAGGGGTTGTGGGGTGCTCCGTACACAGCTAAGCCATACCTCCCCTGGGCCCCAGAGGCCCGTGTCGCTGCAGTGATCGGTAAATCACCGGCCCTGCCGAGTGACGCGGGTAATTGGGTAGCGTCCCTGGGCCGTGGCCGACGGGCTGAGAAAGCGACTCCTAGGCAGCTCTCATCTGTCGGGGTAACGAGAGCGGTGCGATCGCCCCTTTAAATGTGGACGCTGTCGGGGAACATCGGTGTCACCCGAGTGAGGCTCCTGCAAGCCCTTGCAAAGGCTTGATTCATCACCTGGTTCTGGGGGGTGCCGGGAGCCCCCCGCCGCAGGGCTGGGGCAGGGCGGGCACGGCCGCAATGGCGGTGCAGCCAGAGCTGGAAATGAGTGAGCGCCACTGCTGAGAGCGGCCACTCTGGGCCTGGTGACCCCCGCTGGGGAGCCATCCCCGTCTCTGGGACCCCCGCCTTCCTGGGCCTGGTGACTCTCGGAGGGGAGCCATCCCCGTCTCTGGGACCCCCGCCTTCCTGGGCCTGGTGACTCTCGGAGGGGAGCCATCCCCGTCTCTGGGACCCCCGCCTTCCTGGGCCTGGTGACTCTCGGGGGGGAGCCGTCCCCGTCTCTGGGACCTGTGCCTTCCTGGGCCTGGTGATCTCGGAGGGGAGCTGTCCCCGTCTCTGGGACCCCCGCCTTCCTGGGCCTGGTGACTCTCGGAGGGGAGCTGTCCCATCTCTGTGACCCCCGCCTTCCTGGGCCTGGTGACTCTCGGAGGGGAGCCGTCCCCGTCTCTGGGACCTGTGCCTTCCTGGGCCTGGTGACTCTCAGAGGGGAGCCGTCCCCGTCTCTGGGACCCCCGCCTTCCTGGGCCTGGTGACTCTCGGAGGGGAGCTGTCCCATCTCTGGGACCCCCGCCTTCCTGGGCCTGGTGACTCTTGGAGGGGAGCCATCCCCGTCTCTGGGACCCCCGCCTTCCTGGGCCTGGTGACTCTCGGGGGGGGAGCCGTCCCCGTCTCTGTGACCCCCGCCTTCCTGGGCCTGGTGACTCTCGGAGGGGAGCTGTCCCATCTCTGGGACCCCCGCCTTCCTGGGCCTGGTGACTCTCGGGGGGGAGCCGTCCCCGTCTCTGGGACCCCCGCCTTCCTGGGCCTTGTGACCCCCGCCTTCCCAGCCGTAGAAGCTTCTGGCTTTGCGTTTTCCAGCGGAGAGTTTGGCTCGGCAGAGTGCAGCACACTCGTGCGGTTCGGCGTTGGATGGACCGGGCCAGGACAGAGGCCGAGCCAGGGGTGGACGCTGCGTGCAGCTCTGTGAGCTGTTTGACTTCCTGAAGGTCGTCCGCTAACGGCTCGCTTTCCTTGTTGACGTTTATTTATTGACTTGAGAGCCACAGAGAGGGAGAGATGGAGCCAGTGCTGCCATCCCTGGGTCCCTCCCCACACGCCTGCCATGGCTCTGGCTGGGCTGGGGCTCAGGCGGGGGCCAGGAGCTCAGCCTGGTCTCCTGGGGGAGTGGCAGGAGCACAGCGCCCGGTGCTGCCGTCCAGGGCATGCGTTGGCGGGGAGCTGGGTCAGGAGCTGCAGCTGGGAGTTGAACTCGGGCTCTCTGCTGTGGACTGTGCGGGCGCCCTAACTGCTAGGCCACACAGCCACCCTGAAAGTATATGCCTCCGGAACCAGCAAGGTGCTGGTTTGAGTCTGCTCAGTGCTGCTCTGGCCTGTGGCCCGGCGTTGTCGCAGGGCTGCCTGTCAGAGGTCGCGGGTCACGTGGCCGGGCCGCCGGGGAAGGCGGAGCAGCCCCTTCAGGAAGACGGCGGCCGCAGAGCCCAATTTCAGGCCTGTCACTGCGGGTGAGAAATGGAAACGTGGCCCGAGGCGGAATGCTGTGTTCGGAGATGAAGGCGTTAGGACAGGGGCGTTTACATGATTTATTAATCTGTTTATCCCGTCAGGGAGGAAGCTTGTCCTACGCAGACGCGAGAGGTGATGTGGGGGTGACCAGGAGCCCATCTCTCCTGTCTCGGGGCCCCCTCCCGCAGCTGATTTGCTGGGCTTGACTGAAAGTTCATCACACAGTGTCCGTGTGCCGTCAGCGCGTGTGGCGCTGGCATTCAGTCGGTGTGTGCAGACTGAGGGCGTGGGCGCTGGCGCTGCTCCGAGCGCCGTCTGGAGTTGTGCTGAGCCCCTGTGTTTTCTAGGTCCCTGTACACTCTGCAGCGTGAGGCCGGCCCCATGCTGGAGGGTCCGCAGGTGGGTTTGGGCAGAGACGCTGTCCCGTCAGCAGTGATCCCAAGACAGCCGTCTGAACTGGCGTCGCCTGTCCGTCCGCCTTGCTCCCCGTGGCTGACGCCTGTCATTCCGGCTGGGTGCTTTAGATGCCGTGGTCGGACAGGAGACACAGCTCTGGGGCTCTGTTGGTGGCAGGAGGTTCTGTCTGGTTGTGGGTAGACAGAGGGAGAGGCCGTAGCCGTCCCAGAGCCGCTGGTCCCATGGCTTCCGGTGGAGCCCTTCCAAGGTGACCTGGAGCTTGTGTCAGCGTTGCCAATGTTTGTTCTCACTGCCGAAAGTGAAAGTGAGTCGTGTTCCTAAACACGGAAGGTGAGAGGGCCACACACTTGACTTTGGGTGGGGCTTTTTAGAAAGCGTTCTTGAGTCTTGGAAACAGAAACATAACTCTCCCTTAGTCCATCCACTTGTCAGCGCTAAGTGGTCATTATTTCATCATTTTGCAATAAGAGATAATAGAGTCACGATTTATACCTCGGGGCTGATGTTTTAATGTGTCTCTCTGTTACCCGGCTGACAGTCTGTGATCACAGGGAAGCTTCTCCCGGTGACACCGTGGTCACGGCTGGCTAAGGGGTGTGGGGGGGTCCCTGCAGGTTTCGGTCACAGCCCCCGTGGCCCCGCCCTGCGCGGGGGCTGCCTTGGTCTCCGCGGGTGGCTTCTCTCAGAGGTTTCGCCCCCAGCTTGGACGCTGGGTTTGGGGCCACCGAGTCCGGAGCCTCTGTTCCGTGTGGCCTTCGAGAGCCTGGGGGACGCCCCTCGCTGTCGGCCGCCCGGCCCAGCCGGCGGCTCTGTTTCTGTCTCCGAGCTAAAACAACGACCACGTTCACGTCAGTGGGGCGGCAGAGGGCAGTTGCTTCCAGCCCTTCCACCTGTGCGGTGGACCTGCTCCCCGGGTCTCCCTGCGCTTCCCGTCCAGAGTCAGGGGCCTGTGTTGATTTAGGGCGTGGAAAACCTTTCAGGATCAGTGGGGGTGCCGCCTGCTTGGCCTAGGTCCAAAAATACACTCTTAAAAATGTTTATTTTATTTGACAGGTAGAGAGACACAGACAGAGATGACACATACACACACACACGCACAGAGAGAGAGAGAGAGAGAGAGAGGGGGAGAGAGAGAGGGAGGTGAGGGGGATGTTGACCTTCCATCTGCTGGTTCATTCTCCAAAATGCCTGCAATATTGAGGGTTGGGCCAAGCCCAAAGCCCGGAGTTGGGAGCTCCATCCGGGTCTCCCACAGCGGGGCAGGGACCAGCTACTGGAGCCGTCACCCGCCTCCCAGGGTGCGTGTTAGCAGGAGGCTGGGGTGGAGAGCAGAGCGGAGACTTGACCCCAGCACTCCGGTTTGGCCGTGAGTGTTGCAAGTGGTGCCTCACCGGCCGTGTCAAATGCCTGCCTCCCGAAATATGTCAAGAAAATGTTTCAAGGTGCTTTTAAATATATTTATTTATTTGAAAGAGTGACAGAGAGAGAGAAGGAGAGACACACAGAGAATCTTCCATCTGCTGGTTCAGTCCCTAAATGGCTACAACTGCCCGGGCTGGGCCAGATTGAAGCCAGGAGGCTGGAACTCTGTCTGGGTCTTCCATGTGGGCCACCTTCTACTGCTTTCCCGGGCCTGGTAGCAGGGAGCTGGATGAGACCTGAACCGCCATTCCAAGCTTAACCTGCTGCACTGCAACGCTGGTCTCTCAAGGTGATTTTGTTGGAAAAGGAATTCACTGGGCTCTGCACTAGGTATCACTGCTTAGCACCTGAGACACCAAGGATCCCTCCTCAACACAGGGAGTCGAGCCTGGCAGTAAGCATGCTGGGTACGCCGCCTGTGTCCCGTGGTGGGCACCTGGGTTTGATGTCTGGTTCTGGCTTCTGACTCGGATTTCCTGTTAATGCAGACCCTTGAGGGGCGGGGGGTGGCTGAACTCATCGGGTCCCAGCCCCACCTCGGGAGACCTGGAATGACTTTCTGGGTCTTGTCTTTGGCCTGGCCCAGCTCTGTCCATGGCATTTGCAGGCGTTTAGGGAGTGAACCAGTGGATAGGAGCTGTGTGTGTCTCGTCTCTGTTTCCTTCTCTCTGCCTCTGAAATAAATAAATTAAAAAGCAAATTAAACAGAGTTAGTCCAGATGGGCCTTCATTCATGATGGCCACTCATCAGAGTCCTGGCGCGTTGTGAAGTTTCGTGTGCTGGGCGTCGGGGGAGGCTTGGCAGGTGGGGTCCTGCCTGGTGCTGCCCACCCCTGGGGCAGGGGGCTTCGCTGCACTGATCCTTGTTCCCGGAGGGCCCAGGCCAGGGCGTTGGCTGAGGTGGGCGGCTCCTGCCCCGGGAGCAGAGTCTGCCGTCCCAACCATCAGCTCCTCTGAGTGAGAAGCTCCTGCGGCAGCTTTTGGTGCTGTGGGGGTCTCGTTCTCTCCCCTGGCACCCTGGGGGAGGGTGCGGCCTTCCATGGGAGGGCACGTGGCAGGGAGACGCGGTCCTGGTGTGCGGTCCTGGTGCTTTGTGCGCGAGAGGGCCCTGCGTCCACACTCCTTCCTCCCCAGCGGGCTGTGCACGGCCGGGCCACCCTCCAACTTCTGTTTTGCAGCCCCTGTATTTTCATACCTCCTTGAACCACCCGAACATCGTGGCTGTGGTAGAAGTGGTCGCCGAAGGCAAGAAACGGGACGGGGCCGTGCAGTCCCTGTCGTGTGGGTTTGGACTCCTTCGGATCTTCACCAACAAGCCAGACTCCCCCAGCGCCGCCTCCCAGGACAAACGGTATCTTCCTGCTGTGAACCCCGTGGGTTTCCCGGTGTCCTTGTGCGGCGAAGCTACTGCTCATCCTTGGTGACAGCAGACACCTGGGTTGTCATCTCAGGCTGCTTCCTGCTTTGGGCTGTGGGACCGATGCTTCCTGCGTTGGGCTGTGGCTGGCTTTGCACCCCGACTTCTCATCAAGCCTGAGTGAGGACCTGCTCCGGTCCCAGGTGTCGGGGGGGGCGTGGCTGGGTGTGGGCTGAAGTCCCGCCCCGCCTCTGAGTCCCTGGGCGGTTCTAGGCAGGTCATTCGGCCCTTTGGTCCCGAGTTCCCTCCTCTGTGTGTGAGGATGACCATAGTGCACGGCTCACGGGGCTGCTGTGTGTTGGGCCCTGAGCTCGTCACCCACAGGCACCCAGTGAGCAGGGGCTGTCCACAGACACTGGCTGAGCGCCTGCTCTGTGCCGGGCCCTGTTCAGGAGCTGGGTGTGCCGAGGTGGCTCAGTTCCTACTGGATCCTCCCAGCCGGGACCTGTCTCCCACATCCCTCTCCGGACCGGGGCTTCTCAGCCTTGGCCCCACGGCCACGGCCACTTGGGGCTGGGTGGTTTCGGTGGTGGGGGCTGGACTCTGCGTTGGCGGGTGTCTGTTTAGCGGCACCCTGGCTTCTGCCCCCGGTGTCGTGTGTGCAGTGAGCCAACCACAGGCTTTCTAGACCCCTGGGGCGAGACGCTCCTCCCACACCGCGCTCCCTGGGGTTCTGCAGTGGGGGAGGGTGCCGGCCCCGGCGCTCCTGGCCTCTGGTGGCTGTGTGGGTGCAGAGGGTGATGGTCCCTGGCCTTGTTTTCCAGGTTGAAGCTTTACCACGGCAGCCCCCGAGCCCTCCTGCACCCGCTTCTCCAGGACCCCGTGGAACGTGAGTCTAGCACCCCTGTCGGCAGTTTTCCTGCCCAGCCCTGGGCTGTTGGCTCTCCACGGAAGCCGTCTGCTCGGCTCGTTGATTTCATGGGTTTGGGCAGACTTACCGTGGACTTGGAGTCGGGCATAACTTAAAGAACTGGAGTGCACCAGTCCAGAAGGAGGACAGTGCCCAGTGAGGACGTGGCCCTGGGAAGGGGAGCTGGCCTCCCTGTCCCCCCACAGTGCCGTCTGTCACTGGCCACCAGGTGCTCAGTGAGGCCCTGAACCGGGAGGTCGCTCATCACCCCAGCCCCGCGGGGGCTTCCCCTCCTGTGCCGACCCGAGGTGGAGCGTTCAGTGGGAGAACCCACCGGACTCTTGTCTTCTGGAAGGTGCAGAGGGACCTGCCCCACAGCAGGGTGGGGGGCTTCCTGCTGTGCCTGGGACTGGCGCCTGCCAGGGATTCGGAGGGAAGGATGTGGGGGCCCCTGTGCCTGCCCCTGGGGGTGCTGCCTGGCTCCCCAGCAGGGAGCTGTGTGTGGCCTGTGCCAGAGTCAGCCCGACACCCCGCACCGGAGCTGGTGACGGTCTGTCGATGGGAAGGATCCGGCAGAAACGTGGTCCTGGTAGGAACCTTGGCCCTGGGTACTGTGCGGCTGCATGGAGCCCCTTGTCTGCCCCGAGTTCTTCCCCCGCGGTGCCCATAGGCCCAGGGTGTGTGTGTGTGCACGTGTGTGCATGTGTGTGAACACTGGGTGTGTGTGCATGTGTGTGCACGCGTGTGTGAACACTGGATGTGTGTGTGAACACTGGGTGTGTGTGAACACTGGGAGTGTGTATGTGCATGTGTGTGAACACTGGGTGTGTGTGTGCACGCGTGTGAACACTGGGAGTGTGTGTGCATGTGTGTGAACACTGGGTGTGTGTGCACATTGGGAGTGTGTGCACCTGTGTGTGCACATTGGGAGTGTGTGCACGTGTGTGTGAACACTGTGTGTGCACGTGTGTGTGAACACTGGGCGTGTGTGTGCACGCGTGTGTGAACACTGGGTGTGTGTGCACGTGTGTGTGAACACTGGGAGTGTGTGTGCATGTGTGTGAACACTGGGCGTGTGTGTGCATGTGTGTGTGAACACTGGGTGTGTGTGCACATTGGGAGTGTGTGCACATGTGTGTGCACATTGGGAGTGTGCACGTGTGTGTGAACACTGGGCGTGTGTGTGCACGTGTGTGCGAACACTGGGCGTGTGTGTGCACGCGTGTGTGAACACTGGGTGTGTGTGCACGTGTGTGTGAACACTGGGAGCGTGTGTGTGCACATTGGGAGTGTGTGCACGTGTATGTGAACACTGGGCGTGTGTGCACGTGTGTGAACACTGGGTGTGTGTGCACGTGTGTGTGAACACTGGGAGTGTGTGTGCACATTGGGAGTGTGCACATGTGTGTGAACACTGGGTGTGTGTGTGAACACTGGAGGTGTGTGTGTGCATGTGTGTGTGAACACTGGGTGTGTGTGAACACTGGGTGTGTGTGTGTGCACATGTGTCTGTGTGAACACTGGGCACGTGTGTTTGAACACCATGTGTGCATGTATGTGAACACCGGGCATGTGTGTTTGAACACCATTTGTGCGAACACTGGGCATTGTGTGTGTGTGTGTGTGAACACTGTGCATGTGTTTTTTTTTTTTTTTAAGATTTATTTATTTATTTGAAAGGTAGAGTTACAGAGAGGCGGGCAGAGAGAGAGAGAGAGGTCTTCCATCCGCTGTTTCACTCCCCAGATGACCGCAATGGCTGGAGCTGGGCCAATTCGAAGCCAGGAGTCTCCCACATGGGTGCAGGGGCCTAAGCACTTGGGCCATCTTCTGCTGCTTTCCCAGGCCACAGCAGAGAGCTGGATTGGATGTGGGACAGCTCGGTCTTGAACCGGCGCCCATATGGGATGCCGGTTACCCACTATGCCACAGTGCTGGCCCGGGCATGTGTGTTTGGACACTGTATGTGTGCATGTGTATGTGAGAACTGTGGTGTGTATGTTGCGTGTGCAGTTTTTGGGTGTTCTGGGCTGTGCAGGGGCTGTGAGGGGCCTCAGCCGTGGGGGTGTCAGCTCCTCCCTCCAGTCGGCATTTCCAGAAATGTGCTGGGCATGGCGGTGCAGCCACACGGCCGTGAATTCCCACCTGAACCATGTGAAAGCCCCGCCCCTCGTGGGTTCCTGCAGTCCCTCCCGGGCCCTTGGCTGGACACAGATGGACAGGGGTGCAGACGTGCGAGGCTGTTCTCACCCTCGTCTGACGCTGCCGCTTCCCTCCGGGGGAGGGTTTCCTGTGCCCCTCTTCACGGCTGCCTGGTTTTGCAGTCTCCTCCATGGGCACACTCAGGTGTTCAGCAGGACAGAGGTGGGAGCCACGCCCCCAGGGTGATTGGTGGGCGGGGGTGAGGGCCTGAGGACCTGCTGTGTCTCCTTGTCCCCCTCCCGACCCCGGGCCTGCTGTGTCTCCTCGTCCCCCCCTCACCTCCCCCACATGCTGTGTCAGCTCGTCCCCCCTCACTCCCCAGGGCCTGCTGTGTCTCCTTGTCCCCCCTCACCCCCCAGGGCCTGCTCTGTCTCCTCATTTTCCCCCACCCCCAGGGCCTGTTGTGTCTCCTCATCCCTCCCCACCCCCCCCACATGCTGCATCTCCTCATCCCCCCTTACCCCCCCCAGGGCCTGCTGTGTCTCCTTCCCCCCCCCAGGGCTTGCTGCATCTCTTCGTCCCCCCTCACCCCCCAGGGCCTGCTCTGTCCCCTCGTTTCCCGGGCCAGTCTCCTCTCTCTGGCCACGTGGGAAAGCCTTCTGGGGCATTTTCATTTCAAAGCAGGCAGCCCCCATCTTGGAGAGTTGGGGTGAAGTCTGCGGTCTGTGTTGGTTTCTCTCCGTGATGAATACCGTGTTCACATTCAGCTCTGTCTTTACAAAGTCAGAAAACGAGTGAGCTGAATGTCACTCTTAGCAGCCTCAATGGCCAGACTGGCCTGGGATGCCCTGGTGTGCCTCGGGAGGTGGTGAGGTCCCTGTCGCTGGAGGAAACCAAGCCCGAGCAGGACTGGCTGCTGGTGGGCGTGAGAAGGCTCTGTGCTTCCCGGGGATGCTCCCCTGCAGTCCTGTCTCTGTTGGCGCCGCTGCCTCTACCGCGGGCACCCTGTCCCTCCCTGGGCTGCAGGTCCGAGCCCGTCTCCGTCTCCCAGGCCCCACCCTTGGCTGGTGGAGGGCAAAGCTGCTTCCCTGTGTGTCCGGGTCTCGCTCACGGGTGGCTTCCTGTTGTCCTGTGTGCGGGCACTGCTGTGTCTGGCCTTGAGGGCTGGGCTCTGTCTCCGACGCCAGCTGCCCTCCAGTGCTGTCTGGCACCAGTGTGGGGCCTGAGGGACGTGGTGCCTGAGGTGACTCCGGAGCCTGTGACGGAGGCGCCGCACGCCCGTCCCCTGCCCCCGTCCCTCGGGGAGAAGCGGGCGGAGAGCTTGTCCGCCTGGATGCGCAGCGACCTCTTCTCATCACACTTGACCAGGGAGCGCCCCTGCGGGCGGGGCTCTGCCTCCTGGGGCCGAGCTAGCAGCATTTCCCGTCTTCAGAGAACTGCGTGTCCTGTCTGGGCTTTCTTCCCGAGACGCTCGGCTTCTCGGTGCTCTGGTCCCAGCCGTCCTGGTGTTTTCTCCCCCAGACAACAAGCACATGACCCTGATGGAGAGCTGCGGCCTGCAGTACAGCCTGAAGCCGCACCCGCCGCTGGAGCCGGCGCTCCACCTCCTGCCCGAGAACCTCCTGGTGTCTGGGCTGCAGCGCGTCCCCGGCCTCCTCCCCGCGCACGGGGACACGGGTAAGGGCTGCTCTGCTTTCCCCACCCGGCGGGTCCAGAGAGACGGCCGCTCTGGCAGGGGGTCCCCGGGGAGGGGACGGTGGCGGTGGCCGTCGGGCACACGGTCCCTTCCCTCGGTCGACTCCGTCCCCTCGGTGGTGTCTGACCACGGCCGGGGAGACCGCCGCTGCTGGGCGTCCGTTCCCTGGGCTGTGGTAGCCGCGACTTGGGCTGTTTTTAGCTGAGGCAGAATCTGCCGGGTGCAGAATTTACCATTAACCGCTTTCAGGCAGCCGGGTCAGTGGCATTACGTCCGCCCACTGGACTTAACGGCGCCCTCACCTGCACGGCTTCCGGCTTCCCAGGCTGGACTCTGGTGTAGGCGCTGCCCCCGCCTGCCTCCCCGGCTCCCGCAGCCCCCGTCTCTGTGGCTGCTGCAGGTGCCCTCCCCTCCCCCCAGCCGGGGGACACAGCGCGAGTCATTTTGTAAGTGACTTCCCTGAGCCAGTGCCGGGTCCGTCTGTGGGTGGCTTGGGCTCCTGGAGGCTCCATCGTGTGGACCCAGCTGGCCGTCGATCCGTCCACCCTTCCCTCCGTGGACACTGCGGCTGCCCCTGCCTTTTGGTTCGGGCGGTGGTGCTGCTGTGAACACACGTGTGCGACTTGATGATTTTTGGAAACTGAAATTTAGGTGAAAGGCCTCGGGCTCTGGTGTGGTTTTCAGAGGTCGGTTCCTGGGGGGCCTCGGGTCGGCCCCTGCACAGCTGGGGGACGCTGTGGGGTGTGCGCTGCTTCTGGGTGGGGCCCTTTGCTCTGGCTGGCTGTGGAGGTGGGCGTGGGGACCACCGGCCTTTCCCACAGGCGCCCGCGGGGAGCTCCCGGCCCCAGTAGAGGCTGTGTCCACGTCGCTCGGTTCAGGGAAGAGCCGGGCCTGGCACTGGGCGTGGACGGCTGAGAGCCTGGGAAGCGATGTGCTTGCTGTTAGACTGAAGTGCCCGGGACCCTGAAGGAAGGAAGCCACTCCACTCCAGACTCGCGGTCAACCCCGGTGTCATCGCTAGGCTGGGGTGCAGGGGGTCACCTGTCAGTGGGGTTGCTGAGCTGGTGTGGGTGTTGGGCTGGGCATGGTGCCCGTGTTGTTATCTGAATTAGTGAATTTCTCGGGTGGGCCCATGGCAGTCATCACTACCACAGTGTGGTCCCTGTCCAGCCGCCCTGAGAAGTGGTGAGGAACAAGGACTAGAAATTAACCGTGAGCAGGAGCAGGCTGGACGCTGAGGTTTGGATCTGCTGTGGGTCACGTGACAGGGGTCCTGCCGCCCTGCTGGGGAGGGGTCACGTGACAGGGGTCCTGCCACCCTGCTGGGGGTGGGGTCACGTGACAGGGGTCCTGCCCCCCCCCCACTGGGGTGGGGTCACGTGACAGGGGTCCTGCCCCCCCACTGGGGTGGGGTCACGTGACAGGGGTCCTGCCCCCCCCCAACTGGGGTGGGGTCACGTGACAGGGGTCCTGCCGCCCTGCTGGGGTGGGGTCACGTGACAGGGGTCCTGCCCCCCTCCGCTGGGGTGGGGTCACGTGACAGGGGTCCTGCCCCCCCACACTGGGGTGGGGTCATGTGACAGGGGTCCTGCCCCCCCCCACTGGGGTGGGGGTCACGTGACAGGGGTCCTGCCACCCCCCCCCGGGGTGGGGTCACGTGACAGGGGTCCTGCCGCCTTGCTGGGGTGGGGTCACGTGACAGGGGTCCTGCCCCCCCACACTGGGGTGGGGTCATGTAACAGGGGTCCTGCCCCACTCCCGCTGGGGTGGGGTCATGTGACAGGGGTCCTGCCGCCTTGCTGGGGTGGGGTCACGTGACAGGGGTCCTGCCGCCCTGCGGGGGAGGGGTGGCCCAGAAGGCAGCAGTTGGTGCCTGTGACATTGCAGCCGTGAGTGACAGTTTAAGCTGTTCCTGTTGTCATTGCGTGAGCAGGGAATCTGCAGGCCATGGAGTTGCACCCCCGACCCAGCTCCTCAGCCCCCCGCTCCTCCCGTGGCTGTCTCGGGGGAGAAACCCATGTTGCCGGGCCTCTTGTGCCGTGTGGCTCGCTGAGCACCCTGAGGCAGCCCTCGGGCTGTCCCGGGCTCCCCTGGGCCACCCTGCCTCGTGACTCTGCTTGCCGGTGACCCTCGTTCTTGCTGACTGATACTCTGCGGCCCAGAAAGGGCCGAGGTAGGGACGGGTGCTTCCTGGGGAGGGGCTGTTGTCTGCGTGGGGAGGGTTAGGTTTTGTCTTGATGCCACACTGGGAGCTGGAGCGTTGTTCGTTTGTAAGCTGCCACGATACGGAGAATTGCATTGTTTTGAATTGAAATTTTGATTGCGGTCATCGTGGATTCTCCGGCGGCTGTAATGCACAGTACAGAGCGGTCCCACGTGCCACGCGTAGCACAGTGTCACGCCAGGACACCGACGTGGGCGGGACCCCTCAGCCTTCCTCAGAGTTCCTGGTTTGTCTCTTGCTCACTTATGTGGGGAGCTGGAGCCAAGGCCACAGCTGATGCCAGGATTAAGCCGTCTCTGCGTGGAGCTTCCTCCTGGGGTGCCCAGGGACAGTGCGGCCCAGTCTTACTGGGCGCAGAGTCTGGAGAGGGTGGGGGTCTCAGCCCTCCCGAGCAGGGCGGCCCTTCCCAGAGTGTCTGAAACAGGGGCCCCCCGGGAGGCCGGTGGAGTGAGCTGTGAATGGGTGGGTTTCTGTGACGCAGGCAAGGCTGTCTGGAGACCTGGTGCAGGCTCCATCAAGCTTGTGTCTCGGTGGCCATTCCGGATGAGTGGCAGGCGGGGGCTGTGTGCAGTGGAGACATCAGTGGTGTGTTCTAGGACTCCAGGGCAGAGAGCTGGGCAGGCCTTGCAGCCGTGGTGGGAGGGTAGCGAGGAGGCAGCCATCAGTGGGGGTGGAGCAAAACTGGCTGTGCCGAGACTTGGCTGCATCACGGCTCAGCAGCCACTGGGACTGCGGGCGCCCTGCGGGGTGGTCATAGCCAGTGCCAGGCTTTCCAGGCTCGCTGCCCTCCGTCCCGCCCTGCACGCCTCTCAGGCGCCTCTGGGCTGGGCACTGGGCGCTGGGCACTGGGGCTGTCTCCTCCCACTCCACCGCCCCGAGAGAACCTCTGCCCTGCCAGTGTTCAGTGTGCACCTTTTGTAGATCCACTGATGGTTCGCAGGGCGTTTGTTGGGGAGGGCCCGTGTGGGTGCGGGGGGGCGCAGCTCTGAGCGCCTAGGCGAAACCCCCCTTCCCCAGGCGAAGCCCGTCTGACGTGCCCGCGGAGGTGCCGTTGGGCCTGGCTCGCCCTCACCGCCGTTCCCGCACAGACCCTCCGCTTTCCGCTGGTTGCACCGCTGGAGTGTGCGCTGGATTCAAGATGTGCCGAGAGACGTCCCCGGGGGCTGTGGTCGCCGGAGCCCATGCCGGCCTGGGGGACTCCTTGCGGGTCCCAGGGGTCTCTGCTTCCAGGCTGTCCGTGGGAAGGGGCTCCTGCTTGTTGACGCTTGCCAGCAGTCATCCCCTCTGCAGCCACTCGTGGGAGTCCCAGGTAAACTGGGTCATCGTGGAGTGGGGTGCGCTTCCCCGGGAGCCGTGTCATTCCTGGGAACCGTGTTCCTGCGCAAGCACTTGGTAGCAGATAGAGCCAGGCCCAGGCACAGGGCGAGGGTGGCGCCGCCCCGCCGGCGGGGGTAGCGGGGCACGGCGGGCTCTGGGTGCTGCTGTCAGCTGTCTGAATGCGCGATGGTTTCCGGTGTGCGGTGAGGCTCTGCGCGGTGCTGGTGGTGCCTGCCCGCCCCTCGCCGCAGCGAGAGCTCAGGGGACTTCCTCACCTCCCCAGGCCTCTGTCGTTGCCGACTTTTCTCCGGTGAAATGGGGACGGCGATCGGCCTGCTCTTGGAGCTGTGTTTGGGGAGAAGTGGGACAGTGGGTGAGGCACCTGTGTTGCTCTTCGTGGGAATTCTGTCCTCAATTCAGCCGGACGCTGTGCCTGCTGGGGTCGAGCGGCCGCAGGTCTGGCCGGGTTCCTCCTCGTTAGCCCTTCAGACACAGCTCCTGCCACGTGCCAGCGTGGTGGCTGAGGCCGGCTTGAGAGCTGGGTGGTTGTACAGGTGGCCCAGAGAGGGCTGCCGAGTGGAGATGCCCACCTGCCCTCGCCCTTCTGGGCGCAGGATTCAGCAGGTGCTCCCTGTGCACCTGTGTCCTGGAGGGAGCTGGCCTTTCCTGCCCACACTGCTCCCTGTGCGGGACACATCAGGGACACGTGCTTCCTCTCCTCTCTGTGTGGACCGCTCAGGACTACCGGACGGCTGCTGGATCCGGGGGTGCCGGTGCCCCTCGTCACGGGGGGATACAGAGCCCAGTCTGGGCCCCTTCCCGGGACGCTGGGCCTCTGCCGCCGTCCCAGCTGCCCTTGCTGAGTTGTAGCTCCTTGCGGTCCTTGGTGAGGGGGAGCCTTCTTGTCGAAGGTCTCCTTGAGATGGCCAGTGGCTGGGCGGCAGGGCAGGCAGCTCCGGCCTGGGGCTGGGCACAGTTGGGAGGCCTCCGGCCAGGCTCTGCCAGGCTGTGCTGTTTGGAGAGCCAGCCTCAGGCGTCCTCTCGTGGGATGGGGTTCAGCGATCCCGTGTGCGTGGTGACTTTCTCGAATGGATGTGCAGGAGTAACGAGAGTCGGTGTCTGGGGTGGACACTGTTTCTGCCTTTCCCAGCTCAGGACACAGGGCTCTGGGGATCAGCGGTGCCTGCTCCTAGGGCCCAGCTCTGGGGTTTGCACCAGACTTCCAGAGAAGGAGAAAGCGACATCTTCCATTCTCCGTTCACTCCCCGTATGGCCCCGATGCCTCGGCTGGGCCGGGCCAAAGCGAGGAGCCGGGAGCTTCTTCTGGGTCTCCCAGCTGGGTGCAGGGGCCCAAGGACTTGAGCCATCTTCCACTGCTTTCCCAGGTGCATTAGCAGGGAGCTGGATCGGAAGTGGGGCAGCTGGGACACCAACTGGTGCCCACGGGGGATGCCGGCACTGCAGGCAGAGGCTTAACCTTCTGTGCCACACAGCACTGGCCCTTGTATTTCAGGATCTGTGGCTCATTGGCGCCTACCGCCACCTGGGAGGTTCCTCAGTCTCACGCCCCATAGGCAGTGTTGTCAGCCCGGGACCACAGAGGCTGGGCTGGTTGGACACTGCCCTCTTCCTGTGACAGGTCCTGCTTCCAGGAGTGACCGTCTCGCACCAGCAGTTCTGTGTCCCCTGCAGCGTGGGGCTCCGTGGGGCTGCCCGTTGGGTCTTCCGTGGCCGCAGCGTCTTGCCCAGCTCCTTGCTGGGCTCTGCGCTTCTGAGCTTGAGTTTCCGGCACCGTGAGCTCTGGACCGCGGTGCCACCCTTGTTCGTTCTGCCTCTCTGCAGCCCTGTCTGCTCTTGGCTCCTCGTCCGGTGTGGCTCACAGGGCGGGTGAAGCCCTGAGCCTGGGCTCTCCTTGTGTTCCTGCTGCAGCCGCGCAGAGCTAGATGGGTCAGCTGTGTTCACCTTTCAGGGTTTGTCCTGTGTTTGAGGGCCTTAGGGGGTAGGTGCAGCCGCCCAGCTGCCCGGGGGCCGCGCGCTGGGCTGGTGAGGGGCCAGGAGGATGCGGAGTCCCCCTTCCTGTTTCCGTAGATAGGGTGTGGATGCAGGGTGCCGGTTTCCTCTGCTCTGGGCAGAGGGGGGCTCGGGTGTGTGCTCACTGGCAGGCTGTCAGGTGAGCGGCGCGTGCACAGGTGTCCGTGATGAGTGACAGAAGCCTGTGGGGGGGGGTGTCCCATGAGATGGTCCCAGCTGTGTCAGGGCTGAAGATGGGGCTCAGAGCACAGAGGAGGCGCAGGGCCTTGTCAGGAACACAGGGGAGGCTGGGGCAGGGGGCTGGGGCAGGGGGCTGGGGCAGGGGGCTGGGGCGGCCTCGCCTGGAGCTGTTGCACCCTGTCCTTGACCGGCTCTGGTGGCCGGTGGCGGCTCTGGCCCGCCGCGTGGGACCGTCTGAAGCAGTGCGCTGCTGTGGGCGCCCTTGTGGGTCACAGTCCTGAGAAGGGCCCCATCCACGAGCTGCACAGGCTGAAGTCTTGTCACACAGAGAGGGGCGTCTGCGGCTGCCTCGGTCCAGGACTCAGGGCACAGTGGGCTCCGCCTCGTGGCGTGGGCTGCGCGCCCCGGCCTCTCCCTGACCCCGTGGGCTCCGCCTCGTGGCGTGGGCTGCGCGCCCCGGCCTCTCCCTGATGTTTGCTCGCCCTGGCAGCCGGGCCTCGGGGCCTTCTTTGCTGCACACTCCTCTTGCCCTGCTTGGCTGCGACACTCTGGCGGCTCACGGGAGTGGTGGCTGGTGCCAGGCGTCGTCCCAGGGACCCGTGCCCGACGTCCTCGGCTCTCCGTTTAGCTCCTCCGTGGGCCCAGCTGGCCTCTTGCCTGTCCTGGGAAGCTCTGCCAGCACGGCCGTCCGCAGCTGGGCCCGTGTGGCGCTCTGTGGCGGCAGTGCCGCGGGGCCACCTCGCCGCTCCTGGAGCCCCATCTGCCGAAAGGGCTCCTCGCTTTCCCGTTCGCTGTCCACAGCACGGGGAGGGTCTCAGCACAGGACAGCTCCAGACCTCGCTTGGCCACTGCAGCCAAGGGTGGACCTCACGCACTCCCGTGCTCTTAAATCGTGCACCGCAGGTGGGGCTGCCCGCACAGCGTCTGCATCCTGTGTGGGCACCGGTTCGTGTCCCGGCTGCGCTGCTGCAGATCAGCTCCCTGCTAGTGGCCTGGGAAAGCAGCAGCAGATGGCCCAAACGTGTGGGCCCTGCCACCCACATGGGAGACCCTGACGAAGCTGCTGGCTTTGGCCTGGCCCAGCCCTGGCTGTTGTGGCCACCTGGGGAGCGAGTCATTGGATGGAAGACCTCTTTCTCTCTAACTCTGACTTTCAAATAAGTAAATAAATCTTTAAAAGATACTGTGCTAAAACACAACAAAATTTACCCCTGTATCATTTTTCGGTGGTCAGTGGTAGTCAGTCCATCCCCACAGGTGACCATCGCGCCATCCATCTTTAGAACTGTTTTGTTCTCCCAGACTCTGTCCCGAGAAGCTCCCTGGTCCCCAGCCTCGGGCACCCCCTGAGCTGCCCTCTGACCCTGACCCCTCTGGGGAGCCCACATAGCTGCTGGCCTTCTGTGACTGGCTTCCTTCACCTGGCAGCACGCTGTAGCCCAGCCAGAGTCTCCTTCTTCTCACGGCTGAACAAGACCCCGTCCCCCTGCGGATACGGGGCTGCTTCCACCTCTGGCTGTTGGGATGAGGCTGCCTGCGCTGGAAAAAGAAATTGCATTTGTTTATTTCCATCTACTTCGAAGGCAGATAGTTAGAGAGAGAGATAGACATTGAGATTTATCCATCTGCTGGTTCACTCCCAGAATGCAACAGCCAGGACTGGGCCAGGCCGAAGGCGGGAGCCGGTAATTCCACCTGAGTCTCCCACGTGGACGGCAGAGGCCCGAGCACTTGAGCCATCGTCACCCGCTGCTTCCCGGGATGCACTAGCAGGAAGCTGGGTCGAGGCGGAGCAGCTGGGACTTGCACCTGCGCTCCCGCGTGGGCGGCAGGGGTCCTAAGAGGCGGCCTGACCTGCTCTGCCACGGCCCACAACAGGGGACCGCCAATTAAATCACTGCTCATCCAGCCCGAGTAAGGACCAGCGCTGCTTTGTCATCTGTTGGTCTGTGCTTTGTCATCTGTTCTGCTAAACACATTTTTAAATCCCGAAAGGAACGTAGACGTGTTCTGTTTGGAGGCAGCAAGCCTAACGCCTGTCGTGATGGGGAAAACAGAACCGTGGAGGAGGAGGCGAGACGATTTGTGATTACTGCCCCCAGGTATGCAGGAGTCCATGCAGATGTTTTCAAGTGAAGTCAACGCCAAAAGGAGTGATACACAGTTTTTGTTTTGTTCAGTTGGTTTTCAGTCATCAGAGAGCCTTGGACAGCAGTGCTGGTCCTTACTTGGGCTGGATCAGCAGTGATTTAATTGGCGGTCCCCTGTTGTGGGCCGTCTGATTGTCCTGGCTTTCTGTGCCATAAGTAGTGCCTGGTGCGTGTCCTTACCGTGACTGCTCTCTCCCGCCTCTGGCTGTTTTCCCGGAGTCAGTGTAGGAAGTGGCCTTACTGGTGTGGGAGATGTGGGCTGTTTGCAGGGCTTTGGGGGTGTGTGAGGCCTTTGGGCTCCCTGACACTGTCTCCCAGGATGGGCAGTGTCCTCACCATGGAGGGTTAACCCCGTGTTTTGTTTTCCTCTTTGGAACTTTTAAGGGCTTTAAAAAAATCATCCAAGACCTTGAGCTTAAATGTGTGAGTTGTCGCAAAGACAGGAAGGGGAGGAGCCGGGATCTGAGAGGATGAGAAGGTTCCACGGGGCCGTGCGTGTGCCGGGACGCCGCGGCCCCTCTGCCTTCACCGTAGTCTGCTCCAGGGGCCGGGAGAAGGGCTCTTCCTTCTCTCAGCTGAGTTTGTCCTGTGACACCCTGAGTGAGGTGCTGGGAGCCATCAGCCTTCTGGTCCCCAAGGAGCCCAAAGGACGGGGCATCTGGGCCAGGCCGGGGACTTGTCTCCCGGGCCAGCCCAGGCTGCGTTCGTCCACGCGTTGCCTCGACGTGCTCACCAGCATCCCAGCGTGTTTCCAGCCGTTCAGGGTAGACACAGCGGCGGAAGAGATGGCACTGTTGGCTGTGTTCTTGTTACAGGAAGGACAGCAGGCTGGAGGGGTGCAGGTGCCACCCTGCGTCGCGTCCTCTGTGTCTCTGAATTGTCGGGGTGTGAAATTTGTTCCCAGGGGAGGTTTGGGGTACAGCTTGGGCGTGTGTTCACTTGGCTTCGCGGCGGGGTGTGACGACGGCGGCTCTGGCCGGCGGTGTGTCTGTCTGCATGCCTGCCCGCAGCTGCCCCGCGCACGTCTGGCCGTTGCCTCCAAGGATGACCTCACACTCCCTCTCGCCGTTCCAGGCGATGCCCTGCGGAAGCCCCGCCTACAGAAGTGTGTCACGTGGTTCCTGGACGACGTGTTCTTCACCTTGTACCCCTCCCTTGAGAAGTTTGAGGAAGAGCTTCTGGACCTCCTGGTCAGCGACCACTTCCGAGAGGTACCGTCTCCTGGGCAGGGTGGGTGAGTGACAGCTGGCGACGGGGCCTGCCGGAAGAGGGACGCTCCTGCTGCCCCGACGTGGTGATTAAGCAGGTGAGAGAGGACCCCCGGCCTGGCAGCCCAGCCCCCACGGCCTCCGCTGTCCTCGCCTGGACGCTGCTTGCTCTGGCTTCGCCAGGTCTGGACGCGTCTCTAACTCGTGGAGCCCTGCCTGCTTTCGAGCTGGGAGTGAAATCGTCCTTTTCCTCGGTGTCGTGGTCTTCAGCTCGGCGTGCTGCACCCGCGAGATTGTCTCTCACAGCTGGTGCAGCCGTTCGCCCACTTTCCCAGTTCTACAACGTGTCACCACGCGTGCTGTGAGCGCGCACGGTTCGCTTGTCCACGCCACCGTTGCCGGCCTTGTGGGCGGCGCTTGGTTTGGGGCCGTTGGGACCCTGCAGAGAGCAAACCCGTGTGTGTCCTGGCGCTTTGACTCAGTACGCCCCTGAGCAGGAAGTGGAAAGGGGCTTTCCTGAGGCGTTCCTCTGTGTCTGCCTGTGGCTCATGGTCAGCTAGGTGCCGGCCTCAGCCCGGAAGCTGAGCCTCACACGCTCGCGGGTCCTCCAGCAGCCGGCCTGGGCTTGTTCTCACAGAAGGGAGGCGTAGGAGAGGCATCAGAAGTGCATCAAGCCTGGTGGCAGTGAATTTGCTACCATCCCGTTGGCCGAAGCAGAGCACTGGCCAGTCCAGAGTCGGCGAGGCCAGGGTAGAGGAGGTGGCTGGAGAGGCGTTACGTCCAGCCACGGGGAGCGTGTGCCCCCTGCTGTGGGGCTTTGGTGGAATTCCAGGATTCTGCCAGGTGGACGTGGAGCCCTGCCCGCCCCCTGGGGCTCCAGGGACTCTGTGCGTTGTCTTGGTGCTGGACTTGGAGGCTGACGCCTCAGATTGTGCCGCCTTCCTGGCTGGCGCTGTGGTCGGCCTCTTGATGCTTTTGTTACTTTTGCTGAGTAGGTGCCGGGGCAGGAAATTCCTGGATGGAGTGTCAGTCCCACAGAACACCTTGTCTCCCACTCCGTACTCGAAGCTGTCTCCTTGTTTGTTCGGAGCCCTCTGCTGGCCTCAGGTTACCCTCGGGTGGACAGCAGGACGCCTCACCCCGTGGTCCTGACGGGTGTGGCTCGTCCTTGCTGGTTTCCCTGGCTTCCCTGTGTGTGGCTCCTCGGCCTCACCCTGTCCAGCTACGCCTGTCCCACCTTGGCGGTGGCGGCACACCTGTCCCTTCCGTGGACCTGTGAGCATGTGGCTCCTCCCACAGCACCGGGTCCCACGGCAAAGCCCTGACCATCCCGGGGGGTGCACCCCCCCCCCCCCGTCTCTCCAGCTGACCGCCCTGCTCGCGTCCTGTGTGCTCAGCCCTCTGACCGGCTCCCCTACCTGTCGCCAGTCCCCTCTAGGGAGCGAGTGTCCCGGGGGACCCTGTCGTGTTCACCAGGACACATGATGTGCATCCGGGTGTTTGGCTCTCAGGAACGCCGTGGCGTCCTGTTGTGGGGATGAGGGGCTTCGGCTGTTTGCCCTGCTGTGGCACTGCCGTGCCCCGTGGCAGGATCCGTGCTGTGAATGCGACGTGGAGACCAGGACCAAACCGCAGCGGCCACGCTCTCGGCGGGCGTGGTTCCGGCGCTGCCTGCGTCTGCAGGGCAGGTTGTGTGGGGCAGAGGTCGTTGTTGAACTTCACGTGTCACCATAAAAATGACTTCATACCGTGTGTGTTCTTGTTCCTGAGCTGACGGGTACTCAGTTACTGCCATCGCTGTATTTTCACTCCCCGGGGACTCATAGGCTGAACTTGGGTCCATTCAGCACGATCAGTGGACAGTGAAGAAAGCTTGAAAACTTGGAGGTGGTTTTGCAAAGATCACGACGTAGTGAACACGGGCAGCTGGGGACAGCGTGTGCGTTTGCTGGAGGGCCTGTGAGGTCTGGGTTGAGATGAAACCTTGCTGTCTGGGGATCACTGGGGGCACGTCCATCCTTTATTGGGTCGTGACGCCTGCCTGGTACGCTGCCTCCTCCCGCCCGAGTCACCCAAGTCCCGAGTCCCTGGGTGGGCAGCGTCTGCCTCCGGGCACCCCTGTGTCGGTGCACCCCGTGCCTCCGGAGAGTGGGCTGCCGGATTCCCTAGACCACAGAGTCTTGTCGAAGGAGCCACGTCCCGCGGTCCTGTGCTGGCTGCGTCCCGAGAGCGCGCCCAGCCTGCGAGTGTGGCCGTGCAGGCCTCAGCGGGCGCCGTGTGGGGCATGCCCCGTGGCTGGCGGCTGGACCGGGTCACGGTGTGCCCTCGGCCCAAGCCCGGCTCACACGAGGCGTCTGTCCTGCCTCTCCTTGCCTGCCCCGGAACTTGCGCTGCCCTGGGGGCTCCCTCCGCCCGTCCCGTCTGTGCCGGCCTCAGGCCTCCGGCCGTCCCGTCTGTGCCGGCCTCAGGCTCCGCCCGTCCCTTCTGTGCCGGCCTCAGGCTCCCTCTGCCCGTCCCGTCTGTGCCGGCCTCAGGCCTCCGGCTCTGTCTCTGTTGCAGGGCGGCGGCACCCTGGAGGTCCGGGAGCGGCGTCTGCACGTGGGGGTGCACAACGGCCTGGGCTTTGTGCAGAGGCCTCAGGTGGTGGTGCTGGTGCCCGCGATGGACGTGGCCTTGACACGCTCCGCCAGCTTCAGCAGGAAGCTCAGCTCCTCCTCCAAGAGCAGGTATTGCCCGGCCCCAGGTTCCGGGGCCAGCCCTGCCGAGTTAAGGGGGTGGGCGTGCGTGAGGCTTCACCGTGAAGGGAGGGGCGTGTCAGCTGTGGGAGGTGGGTTTTGGAATTTGCATATTGGATGCCTCCAGCTGTGGCTGCTGGGGGGGTGTGGCGCCTGGCAGCTGTGTCCTGGGGTCTTTCCCACCTGACAGACAACCTGAGGCCAGCGCGTGGGTCCCTGGTGGAGTTCTGGGCTCCTGGCTTCAGCTGTTGCCGGGACAGTGGAGGGGGAATCTCTGGCTCTCCACCCTTCAAGTACATAAATAAAAGTTTTCTAAAGCTCTGGTTCAGGGAATCGCTTTGGAGGCTGAGCCTTGTGGAAGAGTTCTCTTGCCTGGTGGGCTTGTGCCTGGGCAGTCCCCTGGGGTCCCACGGTGCCTGGAGCACCCTGGGTGGAGGGGGGCCCAGGACAGGGCGGAGCCACCGCTGTGACCTCCCCCGCTGTTTCTGACCCAGCTCTGGAAGCCAAGCTCTGGTTCTGAGGAGCCGCCTCCGCCTGCCCGAGATGGTCCATCAGCCGGCGTTCGTGGTCATCTTCCAGCTGGAGTACGTGTTTCACAGTCCCACAGGAGCAGACGGCGTGGTGAGGACCTGATCCCCTAGGCGGAGCGGGCGGGACGGGCTCTGCGCCTAGTGCACGTGGCTGGCCTTGGCGTTCTCCCGTCGAAGGCCCTGTCTGGTCAGCCTGGAAGGAGGCCTGGAGCGCGGTTGCTCCCCTGTCACCATTCTCCCTCTGTATGGTAATGGCGCAGTCTGCTGGCCGAGGGTCGCAGGTAGTCGAATAAATTTCACGGGTCGTGATGGCATTAATTAGTAATTATCAAGTCGACAGCCATCGGAGAAACGAGGCTGTTCTAAGGTGTCTTTCGCGTGGTGTTTAGTGCGGTAGAACTTGAGCCTGCACTGGCAGTCTGTGCTTTGCACGGTGCACCGTGTGTGCGTGTGCCTTTGTTATGTGAAGAGCAGGAGCGGGAGAGTCGGCTGGAGCAACTCCACGCGTGAGCGCCACTCATCGCCGATGCAGCTCTGATCATCCCCCATCAGGCTGTTCTTAAGATCCAGGTTTCTGTTTGAAAAAGGCCATATCATTGTAACAAATCAGTTGCAAAGTGAGGCAGGGCTGGCCGGTGTCCCCCGTGGGGGTGGGGTCTGAGCAGTGCTGGGCAGCTCCCGTAAGCAGAAGGGCAGGCCCAGGGCCGCCGGCGCCGTGGCAGGGAGGGGAGGTGCCGGAGCACGGCCGCCTTGTGCCTCGCCTCCTGGCTGTGTCTCCCCCAGGGTCACAGTTCCCAGCTGTGCCTCTCCCTGGAGCAGGTGACTAGCCCTGGATGAGTGGGCCTGGGGCCTCCTGGGGTGGGGCGGCGATCACGGGGGGTGGGGGGGTGGGGGGGGTGGAGTTGGTGGGCCTCTGGGCGGGCCGTGCTACTCCTGATGGCTGGGTGGCAGCGCCAGCCTGGGGGTCACGGGGGACCAGTCCAGGGCACGGCGGGGGCTGCCTGTTGTGCTGCCCCCAGCACCGTGGATCGTAGCTTAGGTGCAGCCCCAGGGGGTGTCTGCCGCAGCCGAGATGGCCCGCGGGACACACTCTGCTGTCGCTGTCACTCTTCCCCCAGAGCCCAGCCTGTGGCCCGCGGCTTCGCGCCACGGCTGCCCGGTGCTCGGATGCGGCTGTGACGGCTCATCGGCCCTCTCTGTCCTGGAGGTGGTTGGACGGGGGTACTGGATTCCGTTTCACTGTCATCAAGTGTTCTGTCTCGGTGTAATCTGGACGGGAGTGTTCCCGGGTGTGAAATGGTTTTCCACACCAATGACTCGCTGTGTGGAACGCTGAGAGCGGCACACGCGCTAACGGGGAGGCTGAACCCAGCGTTCCCAGCGGGCACAGATCTGAGTCGAGGAAAACAAAGGCCCTGGTGCCAGCCCGGTCCTCGCTGCTTCCCCGGGGGTCGGAGTGAGTGACCGCGGGGACTTCATCCCTGCCCCGGCCGTGGGGGCAGCAGCCTGGGGAAGCCTGTCTTTGGTTGAGATGAGGCCTTTGCAAGCTCTGTGCCATCGGGCGGCGCTTCCTTCCTCCTGTCTTTGGAGGAGGCTGTCTAGTGGGAATTCAAGCATGAGCAGAAACAGACAAGATGTTCAAGTGCACACAGGAAGCCTCAGCGGTCACCTTCATGGGTCACCGCCTTCGCGGATGCTCCCCCCACAACCCCTTCTGAAGTGTTATTATGTAAAAGACATTTATTGGAAAGATAGATAGATATCTCGTCCGTGTGCTGCTTTACTCCCCAGATGGCTGCAATGGCCGGGGCTGGGCCAGGCCAGAACTGGGAGCCAGAAGCTCCATCTGGGTCTCCCACATGGGTCGCAGGGGCCCAAGCACTTGGGTCGTCTTCCACTGCTTCCCCAGGGGTGTCAGCAGGGGGCTGGGGTGGAAGTGGAGCAGCCAGGACTGAACCGGTGCTCTGGTGTGGGATGCCAGTGTCCCAGGCAGCAGCTTAGCCCACCGCCCACAATACTGGTCCCTTTTGAGTTGTTTTGAGGGAAATAATTTTAGTTCATTTGTGAACATCTGTATGTCTTTATTTCAAAATTTTAAAAAAGATTTACTTATTTACTTTGAAAGTCAGAGTTACAGGAGAGGGGGAGACCAAGAGATCTTCCATCCGTTGGTTCACTTCCCAAATGGCTGCAACAGTTACAACTGAGCCAGGCCGAAGCCAGGAGCCAGGAGCTTCCTCCAGGTCTCCCACGTGGGTGCAGGGGCCCAGGCACTTGGGCCGTCTTCCACTGCTTTCTTAGGCTGTCAGCAGGGAGCTGGGCCAGAAACAGCGACCGGCATGTGAACGCGTGCCCACATGGGGTGCTGGCTTTACCTGGAATGCCACAGCGCCGGCCCGGGATGCCGGCTTTGCCCGCTAAGCCACAGCGCTGTCCCTCCCCACCCCCCCAGGATGGAAATGAGAAACGCAGTAACAGCAGGGAGGAGCGGATAATGGAGCCTGGGCACCTGCGCCCTCCGCAGATCTGCCTGCTCAGGGCTGCACTGAGAGAGCTTCCTAGAGTCTCGCCTGCACTGGGCGTGGTTCACTGGGTGTCACCAAAGTGCAGGGACTCAGCGCATCACCCCAAAGCTGGAGATGACTGTCCTGCGGTGACTCAGCAATGAGTAGAAGGGGGCCGCGCCCTCTCCTCTGGGAGGTGGCCCCCGAGCCAGGTCCGTGTACGCGAGTCCTGGAGTGGCCCCCAAGGTTCTGTGTACACCATCCACTTTTAAATGGGGGTGCCCAGATCGGGGACAAATACAGAGAATACAGCAGAAAGTCAGACCCAATACCCCGCCCCCTGAGTCTGCGTGGGGTCTGAGGACGGTTCTGCTGCGTCTCCTGTGTGGTTAATTTGTTAGCCGGAGCGGCTGCTGTCTTCCCGTCCTGGAGGAGGGCAGGACAAGTGTGCAGCCCTTGGGGGTCTGCAGGTGGGAGCAGTCCTGGCGTGGTGGTCATGTGACAGACAGGCCGACCCCCCCAGAAGTCGCTGAGAGGTCATAGTGGACACAGGAGCTCTGTCTGTCAGCGGTCTCTAGACAAGTCCGTCTAGCACATCTGAGCCTGTGCTGTCCGCGAGGTGCTGGTCTGGGTGCCCAGGCACGGCGGCGCCGCATCTGCGGGCTGTTCTGTGCGTGGAGCCTGAGACACGCTGGTCTGGCGTGTGCTGAAGGTGGATGAACACAGCCTGACACACGGGACTGGGGGGTCTTGAGGGTTTCCGTGAGGTCCCTTGGGTCGCAGGAGTGTCCGTGTGCAGCCCCCACACAGGAGGCCCTCTGTGTGCACTGCTGCCCTTCGGGAGGGGCCCGAGCACTGGGCCATCCTCTGCCGCTTTCCCAGGCGCATCCGCAGGGAGTGGGATCCAAGTGCAGCGGCCGGGACTCAAACCAGCGCCCGTACGGGATGCCGGCGCCGCAGGCGGTAGCTTTACCCACAATGCCATGGTGCTGGCCCCTTTAGGTCTTCTTTATATTCTTTGCTGTCATAGTTCGGGCCCTAAATGGGAACGATTCAGTGAATTCTGGGCTTTTGTTTCTTTACAGTCTGTGTGAACTGAACCTCACCAGGGCTCCACAAACAGCATGAAAACTTGGCTGTTTTGTTTTATTTTACTTTTGACCCTGAAATGCACATCTGTTTTACAGGAGGTGAGGTCCTTTTTTTTTTTTTTTCTTTAGTGACTTGTTTTCCTAAAACACGTACGGTCGTTTCATCCATAAAAAGCATCAGATTTGCGGCCAGCTTCCCATTGGTAGACTGGAGCCTGCCCTGCAGCTGGGTGGGCAGGGAGGAAGCAGGCAGCCCGGTGCTGGGGACCCTGGCCGCCCCCACTCTGTGCTTGCACTGCCAGGGTGTCCCCGCCCACCCCGAGATGGATACGTGCGCCGTGTCCTGGCCCGGGATCTGAAACACGGCCACGGTGAGCAGTCAGCCTGGCCCCGGCTGAAGGGACGGACCGCGGTCCGGTTCCGACGGCGTGGGGGTGACTTCTGTGCTAGGTGCTGGCTCTGGCCTTGTTCCCTGTGTGGGTATAAAGGTGCAGCTTCATCCAGCCACAAGCAGTTTGGAAGAGGCTGGCTTGGTTGAAAAGATGGTTTCTCTTCTGTATTCGGGTCTGCTCTCACATGAACTTGGCTGTGGTTTAACCCAGTGGCCTGCAGAGCCACACGTGGGCGTCAGGATCCCAGCCAGAGCCCTTTTGTGTGTGTGCACGCGTGTGGGGAGTCGTGTCTGGGCAGTGACAGTGGCACGGCTGCTCCCTGAATCCAGACAGATACGCAGGGTCTTTTGGGACCCTGGTCACCGGAGGAGCCCTGTTGTTCTCAGCTCCGGCGCAGCTCGGTCAGCAGGGCCCTTGGCATCTCCTTCCTGGTGGACAATGCTCTCCACCCGTTCCAGGCAGGGCCTGGGCCTCTGTCGCTCACCAAGGGGGGAGACCCCTCCCTCCCGGGCTCCGTCCCCACCACTGTGGTCACCGCCATAGTTGTGATGGCCGCCTGGGCAGTGGGAAGGAGGTTGGTCTAGGGTGCCCTTGGTTCCCTCCTCGGTGCCAGGGAGCCACAGGCTGCTGCCAGGGCCGGGGAGGAGCCCCCCCGTCTCGCTCACGCTGAGGGGTCTGCGTTGTTCAGGAAGACAGTGCTGGGGGTGGAGCTGCTCAGGCCGGCGTGCTGCTTCCCGGGGCTCTCAGGCTCCCGGAGCGGAAGGGCCTCTCCCTGGGCTCCCGGGGTGACCCTGAGGGCCTCTGAACGAGCTTCAGCCTTCCCAGTGGTGCGCATATCAGGGTGTTGAAGTTCGAGGAAAATGGAGTTGGAAGATAAGTGTGTTCACTGATTTTTAAAAATGTTTGTGTATTTTCATTACTGGAAAGAGAGTGAGAGCAGGAGTCAGGAGTAGGAGTAGGCGGGGCGGGGGGGGGGGGGCTTTGGTGTGCACGTTGACTCCCCAAACGGCTGCAATGGCCGGGCCTCCCACGCAGGTGGCAGGGACCCAGCACTTGGGCCATCACCTGCTGCATCCCAGGGTGTGCGTTAGCAGGAAGCTGGTTTGGAAGCGGACGAGCTGGGGCTTGAACTGGTTTTCTGACAGGGGATGCACCCGTCCCAAGGGGCAGCCTAAGTCGTTGTACCACAAAACTTGCCCTGGTAAGTTCATTTTGGTGCCAAAACATTTTGACATCCCTGCATGCAAGGGGTCTTCAAAAAGTCAATGGAGGGCCGGCGCCGTGGCATAGTGGGCTAAGCCAATGCCTGTGGCGTCGGCATCCCATAGAAGCGCCAGTTCAAGTCCCAGCTGCTCCTCTTCCGATCCAGTTCTCAGCTATGGCCTGGGAAAACAGTGGAGGATGGCCCAAGTGCCTGGGCCCCTGCACCCAATGGGAGACCTGGAAGAAGCTCCTGGCTCCTGGCTTTGGATCAGCCTGGCTCCGGCCGTCGTGGCCATTTGGAGAGCGAACCAGCGGATGGCAGACCTCTCTCAGCTGTTTTTGCAGGGCGTCCTTTCAGAGCCGGCCCTCGGAGGTGCGCCTGGGGGGCACAGCTCAGGCCTCGCTGGCCGGCAGCACGGGGTTCAGTGGCCGGCAAGGACCGGAGCCGAGCTTGCTTCCCGCTTCTTGTGAACACGGGCAAGGAGGTGGAAACTGCTTGGGTCTGCGTTTGTGACAGGGACTTTGTTTGAGTGCGGCTGCTGGACCGGGGTTCCGAGCGTCCGCGTCCCCACATTGGACGTGCGGAGGTGACATCTGGCCGGGTGACCTCCCAGTGCCACGTGAAGGCGCATGTTAGGCTGAAGAACATGCGAGCCCTGGACCCAGTGTACCCCGGGTGCTGGACCCTGTGTACCCAGGGTGCTGGACCCAGTGTACCCAGGGTGCTGGACCCAGTGTACCCCGGGTGCTGGACCCAGTGTACCCCGGGTGCTGGACCCTGTGTACCCAGGGTGCTGGACCCAGTGTACCCCGGGTGCTGGACCCAGTGTACCCCGGGTGCTGGACCCAGTGTACCTGGGTGCTGGACCCAGTGTACCCCGGGTGCTGGACCCAGTGTACCCCGGGTGCTGGACCCAGTGTACCCAGGGTGCTGGACCCAGTGTACCCCGGGTGCTGGACCCAGTGTACCCCGGGTGCTGGACCCAGTGTACCCCGGGTGCTGTCCTCGATGCTTTCCTGGTGGGCTTGAGGGGACGGTGGCACAGCATGGGGGCTGCACGGACCCGCAGAGAGATCCTTGTGGGTCAGGGGGGTCAGGAACAGAAGGGGGAAGCCGTCGCTGCCTTGGGCCAGAAGAGGGGCCATGTGTGGTGGGAGGGAGGTCCTGGTGAGGTGGGGGGGTCCCAGAGGGAGCGCATGGGCCCCAGGGGTGCTGTGGACTCCTCCTGCCTCCTTCCTCTCTCTCCTTCAGCCCCTGGGCTGTGTCCAGTGTTAGGTATGACAGTGCTGTCACCCCAACCCCGGTCTGGGTGGCACCCCCGCCCCGCCCATCCCGCCCGGCTGCCCCCCACCCTCTCCCCTCCCCTCCTCCCCCTCCCTCCCCTCCCCCCCCCTCCTCCCCTCCCTCCCCTCCCCCTCCCCTCCCCTCCCTCCCCCTCCCCCTCCCCTCCCCTCCCTCCCCCTCCCCTCCCCCTCCCCCCTCCCTCCCCCTCCCCCTCCCCTGGCATTGTGGTAACAGACGCCACCGTGCTTTGTTTGACTTCCAGGCGGCTTCAGTGACCTCCTTGTCCAGCCTGGCCTGCATGCACATGGTCCGCTGGGCTGTCTGGAGCCCCCCGCAGGAGGCCGGGGCCGGGCGGGTGACCCTGCCTCTGCACGGCGGCATCCGACCCAACCCCTCCCACTGTCTGGTCTATAAGGTCCCCTCGGCCAGCATGAGCTCTGAAGAGGTAAGTGGCCGCGCGCGTTGCCCGTGTGGGTCTCCCCGGCGCGCTCCCCGCGGGTTCGTGCGTTTTCAGGCGGCAGGCACGCGTGCAGACGTCTGGTGAAGAGGGCTGTTTCTTGTCGTGGGGACGCCCTGGCCGGGGCACACACGAGTGCCTGCTCACGGTCAGTGTGACGTCAGTGAGGTCTGTGGCAGCCCTGCCCACCCGGGGGTCTCTGGAGGTGATGGGCTAGACCGCGAGGGTCCTGTTGCCCGCTCGGCGACTGTGCAGGCTGGGCCTCGGTGGGTCTGCCGCTGGTTTCTTAGGAAGGCGTGCGCCTGGCAGTCTGGCTGCCAGCTCGGTGGCCCCTGTGCCTCATCACTCTTTCCGCCTTGCTCTCTGCTGAGTACCGAGCCGGGGAGCAGATGGCCTCGGGGTTACCAGGTGATTGTAAGACGAGACAGTCTCTGAGCCCCAGTATGGAAGGCACGGAACGTGGAGCAGGGGTGTGTGTGTGTGTGTGTGTGTGTGTGTGTATGGAAGACACAGAATGTGGAGCAGGGGTGTGTGTGTGTGTGTGTGTGTGTGTGTGTGTGTGTGTGGAAGGCACAGAACGTGGAGCAGGGGTGTGTGTGTGTGTGTGTGTGTGAGAGAGAGTGTAGCTTGTGTGTGTGTGTGTGAGAGAGAGAGAGAGAGGGCGGGCGCTCACCCCGGCCTTGCAGGGCCGTCCACTGTGGCCTGGCCGCGGGGTTTCCGGCTGCCTGTTTCACGGTGCGCGCGGGAGCCTTTTGGGGACTGTGCCGACCGCACCTGCTGTTTCCGCGTGTGGCTTCTGTGCTGACTCCAGCGACGAATGGTTGTTACTTACGGTTTGGATGATGCTTTGGGGACCCGAGTGAGGGAGCGGCTGATTGTGCAGCTTTTCCTGTCACGAGAAACGCCTCTCATTACCGGACCGTGTCTTGCTGCATTCCCACAAGGTCTGGTTGGAGCCCTTGTCACAAAACTGCCGTCCCTCTCCGGAGCCGTTACCGTTCTTTCTCCTCCTCCCTCCCCTGGGGTCTGTATTGCTATAAATAAATCTTCATTGACTTTCCAGCTAGTGGTGCCAGCACCACACGCAGACACCCCCTCCCCCTCACTCCCGTAGCCCCAGCTGTCTGCAGACGTTGTCGGCCGTCTCTCAAAGGAGCAGAATCGCCCCTGGTGGAGGGCCATGCGCTAAGTACACATAATTAACTAAACCGGCCATGAACTTGACCTGCTGTCCTGCACCAAACAGGCACTGCTCCTCTGCTTGTCGGGTGTGTTTTCTGCAATGGTTCTAGCGCCCAGCACGTCAGGCCTGTTGGGAACCTAGGCGTGCCCTCGTCTGCCCCAAACCAGTTAGGTCTGTATCCCGTTCATTCACCCAGCGGTTCTTACCGAGTTCCTCCTTTATGCTAGGAATTCCCCTGGTCCCTGGAACTTAAAGTTGAGCGGGAAGACTGGCAGACGCAAATCAAAGAAAAATGTAACTACCCCTTCATTTTTGACCAGGGCGACTTTATTTATTTATTTATTTATTTAAGATTGATTTATTTATTTGAAAGGCAGCGTTACAGAGAAGCAGAGGCAGAGAGTCAGAGATCCTCCATTCGCTGGTTCACTCCCCAGATGGATCAGCAATGGCCGGAGCTGGGCTGATCCGAAGCCAGGAGCCAGGAGCTTCTTCCAGGTCTCCCACGCGGGTGCAGGGGCCCAAGGACTTGGACCATCTTCCACTGCTTTCCCAGGCCATAGCAGAGAGCTGGATTGGAAGTGGAGCAGCCGGGACTTGAACCGGTGCCCATGTGAGATGCCAGTGCTGTAGGTGGCACCTTTACCCGCTACGCCGCAGCGCAGTGCCCTGACCCAGGTAGATCTTAGTGTTTGTGTTGTAGTTATTTCCCTGTTGCTTTCTGTGAAACGAAGTCACATATTTTGATTATGCTTTCTTTCTTAAGCACTTCCTTCTTTTCCCCCTTGAGTGAATAATTGTTCTTCACACTTGATCTTAGCCAAAAGGCCGAGAAGCGATATAATTGTTCTTTTTAAAAAGGATTTCTGTCTCCAGAGGCAGCGGCTTTCAAGTCTCAGCTGTGGTGTCTGGAATTTGCCTTGTTTTCTAGTTCCTGCTGCTCTTTGCCGGCTGATGCACTGTGGGTGTCCTGTGCCCACTCCCCGCGGTGAAGGCTGAGGCCTGCGGCCTGCGGTGGGCGGCACAGAGAACCCGGCAGGACCGGGGTGGGGCCCGGAGGGAGGAGCCTGGGACTCAGCGCTGGAAAGTTGTTTACAAGCCCTGGGCTCACCCCCAGGCCACAGGGTGTAGATCTGAATGCCCGTGTTGGGGTAGTCCCGGAGGTGCCCACTGGGTGGCGCCCAGGAGAGCCCTGAAGAGCCCTGCCCAGGCCCTGGAGACACAGCCTGTCGGGCCAGCGGGGCTGGAGGGGAGCTGGGGGGGGGCCGGAGGGGGCCGGCGGGGGCTGGCGGGGCCGACGGGGGCTGGCGGGGGCCGGCGGGGGCTGGCGGGGCCGGCGGGGGCTGGCGGGGGCCGACGGGGGCCGGCGGGGGCCGGCTGCACGCAGCAGGTGCTCTGTGTGGGTCTAAGTGGGACTCAGGCCCCTCATGTGACATTCGAACGCTGTGCTATGTCTGAAATCAGCAGGCAAGGGGCTTGGGCCCTTAGCAGGGCCGGCGCTGACTGCGCAGGTGCTGCGGTTCCCACTTGGGGCCTGAAGCTGCCGTCCTCAGGGGCTCTGGCGAGCAGGGCAAGGGGGAGAGAAAGTCTTGGTGGAGACAGGAGATGTACCTAAGAATCACGTGGAAATCTGAAAGTTTTTAATTTAAATATTTTATTGATTTGTGTGTAAGTATGAGCCAGAAAGGATGAGAGCTAGCACGCCAGGGAGGAGAGCCCCCCACCTGTGGCCCATTCCCCATTGTGGGCCAGGCCAAAGCTGGGAGCCAGGGGCCCCTCCGATCTCCCGTGTGGGTGGCAGGGACCGACTGCCCGCTGCTTTCCTCCCGAGTGCTCGTGAGCAGGGAGCTGCGGTCGGGACCCGAGCTGGGGCCTGAACTCCGGCACCCGGCTGTGGTGCTGGCATCTCAGGCAGAGTGCTACCCCTGTGCCAGTGCCGCCCCCCGAGACGCGCATTTTAACCTGAAAAACCAGATGACCAAGTTAGGGCATTCGCCAGACGGTCTCCATAGCAGAGTGGAGGTGAGACACGAGCCAGCGAAGCTGAGGACCAAGCAGAGTTCACGCAGCTGACGGCGGAGAGCAGCGGGGTCGCGGGTCAGCGCACAGGGGCTCAGGCTGAGCTCGGGCAGCACCAGCGCCCGCGCCAGCCGGGTCCCCGTGGAGGACAAGGAACGCATGAGGGAGAAGACGACAAATAGTGGCTGAAAGTTTTCCTGATTGGTCGAAAGGCAGACCTTCACCTCCAGTCAGTGGACACAGAAATAAGGGCAGAGTCCACGCCCAGTGACGCCGGCAGCAAACTGCCGGAAACTCAGTACCTTGAAACAGCCGTAGAAAATGATGCATTGCCGGAGAGAAATAGTAAGATCCTAAAAAGATGTACGCGTGTGGAAGGCAGTGGCACAGAGAGGAGACGCGGTGTCGGGGGAGGAGCAAGGTCACCCCCCAGAGGCTGCCACAGGCGGGGCTGAAGCCAGGAACCAGGAACCACAGCGCCCGCTCCGGCAAAACGGAGGCTGAGGGGCTGTGGATTCCTCGCTCAGAGACCGTGGAGGCCGCAGGAGGGTGGAGCAGCATTTGTGGAAAGTGCTAACGGAAGCCGGAATTCTGTGTCCAGCAGAAGCCACACAGAGACGAAGCTGACGTAGCGGCAGTCTCCTGCGAGCTGGAGCCAAGAGAATTCACTGATGGCAGGCATTTCCCTTTCTTCTTCTTCTTTTTTTTTTTTTTTGTTTAAATATTTATTTAAAAGGCAGAGTTACAGAGAGAAGGAGGGAGAGAGAGAGATTGAGGTCTTCCATCTGCTGGTTCATTCCCCAAATGGCCACAACAGCCGGGGCTGGGCCTGTTGGAAGCCAGGAGCTTCCTCCAGGCGGCCCACATGGCTGCAGGGTCCCCAGCACGGGGGCCGTCCCACTGCCTTCCCAGGCCGTCAGCAGGGAGCTGGAGGGGAAGTGGGGCAGCCAGGGCGGGGCTGGCTCACACACGAGATGCCCAGGCGGCAGGCGGTGGCTGCACCACGACCACAGTGCTGGCCCCGCGACGTTTTCTGAGAGTAAGTGAAGGAATTCCCCAGACAGAGGGGACATGGTGCCCGGCAGGGGTCTGGAGCTCCAGCGGTGGGAGACCACAGAGGGGACACGGCGGAGCGTCCCCTCTGAGTTCTTCACGTGGGGTGGCCGAGGCGGCAGGGCGACCCCAATGACGAGAGAGTTCCAGCCTTGGTGAGTGCAGGGGGGCGGCAGCGAGGAAGGAGGGGTGAGGAGGGCTGCGGGTGAGGGTCTCTGTGAGTGCAGGGGAGGTGGCAGCAAGGAAGGAGGGGTGAGGAGGGCTGCGGGTGAGGGTCTCTGTCAGTGCAGGGGAGGTGGCAGCGAGGAAGGAGGAGGGAGGAGGGTTGCGGGTGAGTGTCCTTGTGAGTGCAGGGGAGGCGGCAGCGAGGAAGGAGAGGTGAGGAGGGCTGCGGGTGAGGGTCTCTGTGAGTGCAGGGGAGGTGGCAGTGAGGAAAGGGAGGCGGCAGCGAGGAAGGAGGGGTGAGGAGGGGCTGTGGTGAGGGTCCTTGTGAGTGCAGGGGAGGTGGCAGCGAGGAAGGAGGGCTGCGGGTGAGGTCTCTGTGAGCAGGGGAGGTGGCAGCAAGGAAGGAGGGGTGAGGAGGGCTGCGAGTGAGGTCTCTGTGAGTGCAGAGGAGACGGCAGCGAGGAAGGAGAGGTGAGGAGGGCTGCGGGTGAGGTCTCTGTGAGTGCAGGGGAGGTGGCAGTGAGGAAAGGGAGGCGGCAGCGAGGAAGGAGGGGTGAGGAGGGGCTGT